GGGTCTCATTCCCCTGACCCTGAAAGAGTCTCCAATATGACACCGTTGGGAAGGACAAGTAAAGAGAGGCCGCTAAAATCTCAGGGCTAGGACAAATGGAGATGTTACTGGTGCCTGCTCAAGCAAATTGATGAACAACAGAAAGACAGTGATACAGTGATTTTTAAAAACTATCTGATGGATTTGTTTACTTGACTTTTCTTTCAAACTAAGATACTGATGCAATTTAGTGAGAAAAACAAAGGTCTTTTATATTAAATGCTGCTGGAAAAGTTAGATTTACCATTGAGACCTAGGATTCATCCATTTTTTTGTTTGCTTGGTTTTTTAGTTTTTTGGATTTTTTCTTTTTTGGTCACACCTGGCATTGTGATGTTCAGGGATTAATTCTGGCTCTGCACTCAGGAATCATGACTGGCAGTGCTCGGGGGACCATATGGGATACTAGGGATTGAACCCAGGCTGGCCTCGTGTAAGGCAAACCCCCTACCATCTGTCCTATTGCTCTAGCTCTGCTTGTTTTTGGTTTTGGCTTTTGGGTTATGCACAGCAATGCTGAGGTGCTGTTCCTGTTTTTTTTTCTTTTTGGGTCACACCCAGCAATGCTCAGGGGTTACTCCTGGCTCTGCACTCAGGAATGATTCCTGGCGGTTGTTGGAGGACCAAGTGACCCCTGGCAGTGCTTGATGGACAGTATGAGGTGCTGGAGATTCTAACTGGGGTTGGCCCCATGCAAGGCATACTTCTTGCCTCCTAAAATATCTCACCAGCTCCTTAGGATTCATCTTAAATTAATGTTTGTACTTGGTGTGGATAGGTGCCAGGATTCATCTTCTCTAGTACATCCACTCTTTGTCTCTGAAACTGATTCCAGCTTACTCTTGTAATGTTAATACCTCAGTATCCTGTTCTGTAAAGCTGCCATGATCATACTACCCCTCATTAAACAGTATTATAGGAATTGAGTTATATAATGTCTAAAAACGCATGTAAAGCTAGAGCATAGTATCCAGCCCACCCAAAGGTATTAATATTCTCATAAATATTCATGTGAAGAGAATATCCAGTCAGGGCCAGAGAGTATAGCAGACAAGGCACTAACCTTGCACACAGATGATCTGGGTTCAATCCCCAGCACCCCACATGGTCCACCAGGCCCCACCAGGGATGATCCCTCCTCCCTCCCTCCCTCCCTCCCTCCTCCCTCTCTCCCTTCCTTCCTTCCTTCCTTCCTTCCTTCCTTCCTTCCTTCCTTCCTTCCTTCCCTCCGTCTTGCCTGCCTGCCTGCCCTTCTTCCTTCTGTTATGTGTTTTGAGCCACAACCACCTGTGCCCAGGAATTACTCATGGCTCTATGCTCAAGAATCATTCCCGGGGCTCAGGGGACCACAGGGGGCTCCAGGGATTGAACTTGAGTCAGCTGTGTGTAAGGACAGTACACTTTCTCCAGCTCCTCTCTTTCTTTCATGACAAGTGACATGTCTAGATCATTGCCTCTTCCTAGATCTGTTGTCATTTGCCAGATTTGGCAAATATAAAAATATGGGGAGCTAGTCAAAGCTGAATTTCAGCTTAAGATGTTTTAGTATAATTATGTCCTAAGTATTGCGATCCTGTACACATTGTCCTGTATACATAGAAAGTGCTTATTTTGTTTTCAAACTCATTTATATAAAGGTGAATGGTCTTTTATAATACTCTTAACTTCCTCTGTATTTTATGTTATTTTGGCATTCTCAATTCTGCTTTTGTGCACTCACACTTCCTTTTTTTTTTTTTTCTTTTTTTCTCTTTTGTGGTTTTTGGACCATAATACAAAAAAAATCCTATATTTATCTGCATCACTTTTGTGGGGCGTAGGTGGGGAAGTACACACCTGGGGGTGCCCACAACTGGGGGTACTCCTGGTCTGGTACTCAGGGATCACTCACTCCTGGCAAGGCTTGGGGGACCGCATGGAGTGCTGGGGATTGAAATCTGGATTGGCAAAGTGCAAGGCAGGCGCCCTGCCTGCTGCACTCCAGCCCAACTGCCTTTAGTTTTTACTGATTGAGTAACTGTATAACTTATCTATTGTCTGTTTTTCTCATTTCTATTTAAAGGTTCTGCTTTGGTTGTTGCTAGGTCCTCCCTCTTGTTTTCCTTGTTGCTCCTCACTCATTTCTTTCTTTCTTTCTTGGTGGTAGCATGGGGGAAGTTTAAGCCACTCTTGGTGGTGCTTAGGGCCCCTCCAGCCGGGTGCTCAGGGTTAGTCTCAGGGGAGGTGAGTTCCCTAACCCCCGTGATCTCTCTCTGCAGCCCCCCTCACTAATTTCTTGACTGGATACTTGATCGATTTTGACCTCCCTTCTTATTTTCCTTGTCTGTTTGGGGGCCATGTCCAGCTTACTCCTGGATCTGTGCTTGGGATCACTCCTGGCATGCTAAGAGGACCCTAAGTGGCCACGTGCATGGCAAGTGCCCTATCCGCTGTACTATCTCTCTGGCCCCGGTTCTTATTATTAACGTTACTGTGTGCGAGAGTGAATTTTCCTCTGATCCTGCTTTTCTGATGTGCTTGGAGCTGGTTTGTCTCAGCGGTCAGGCCGGGCTTCTCTCCGTGGAACGGGGTGTTGCAGGGCACAGTTGGCAGTGCCTGGCAGTGCGGCATTGCCCGTTGCCCCATCTGCAGGCAAATCTCCCAGGCTGCTCTGATGTGCTTGGAGCTGGTTTGTCTCAGCGGTCAGGCCGGGCTTCTCTCCGTGGAACGGGGTGTTGCAGGGCACAGTTGGCAGTGCCTGGCAGTGCGGCATTGCCCGTTGCCCCATCTGCAGGCAAATCTCCCAGGCTGCTCTGATGTGCTTGGAGCTGGTTTGTCTCAGCGGTCAGGCCGGGCTTCTCTCCGTGGAACGGGGTGTTGCAGGGCACAGTTGGCAGTGCCTCGCAGTGCGGCATTGCCCGTTGCCCCATCTGCAGGCAAATCTCCCAGGCTGAGAGAAACAGAGAGGGAAAAGGGGGGCCTCCAGGACCTCTGGGGAACCAGGATGGTCTCCACAATTCCCTGCGCAAGTGTTAAGAAACCAGAGGAGGCTAAGGGGGTGGAAGGACCAGGTGACTTTGGGAGAGGGGGAGCTGTGCCTGGGGCCTCCCTCCCCGCAGCCTCAGAGGCAGCCCGGGCTTGCCACGTGGAGTGCGGGGCCCTCAGAGGCTTGGGCATGACTGGGTGTCTAATGCTGCAAACCTGGTGGAGACCATGAGCCTACCGGGGGTGCCTGAGCTGCTGAGCAGGTGAGCGACATCCCCAGGGATGAGTGAGAATGAGTCAGGGATGCAGCCCGGGGACCTCCACACCCCCACCCCAAGCACGCAGGAAGACGGGTGCTACATTCCACGGATGTCACTGGCAGGCCCTGCCAGGAGGATCCCCGAGGTGTCCCCAAGCCTCAGCAGAGAACTGAGTTTCCTGCTCAAAACACTGATTTATTTTCTGATGGGGAGGGTCACGCCTGGGAGTGACCAGCGCTGTACTCAGGGATCACTCCTGGCGGTGCTCAGGGGCCATATGGGGTCCTGGGGAGCGAAGTACTATCCGCTGTACTATGGCTCTGGACCAACGACACTGATTACAGACTCTTGACTTGTTAGAAAACGATTTCTGTTGTTTGAAGCCATAAGAGTTGTGCTCCAGGGCTGAAGCGATAGTACAGCGGGTAGGGAGTTTGCCTTGCACGCAGCCGACTCGGGTTCGATTCTCAGCATCCCATATGGTCCCCCCTGAGCAGCACCAGGAGTAATTCCTGAGTGCAGAGCCAGTAGTAACCCCTGTGCATCACGGGTGTGACACAAAAAGCAAAAAAAAAGGGGGGGGGGGAGGGTTGTGCTCCTTTGTCACAGCTGCTACGGGAGACTAATACCTGCCCCCTCACCCTGCATGACTCCTGGCAGGATGTTTGGGGTGAAATGGGGATCCCAGGTACCTGAGGAAATAGTGGGCTCAGCACTTCCAAGTGCTAGGGAGCGCCCCCCCCCCTCACCCCTGTCAGTGCTGAGGGAGAGAGCGTCCTGCCCACACTTCAGACAGGCTCACGTCCAGCAGGCTACAGCCGGGGCAGGAGCTGCCAAGGGGCAGCTGAGCCTGGGCAACAGGACATGGCCAGGGGGCGCATTCACGAAGCCCTGGAGATGGTCAGTCTCGAGTTGTAACCTTGGTAACCTGAGAAAGTGCCCCAAGTGTGCTCACGACCACCTTGAGGTGGTCCAGCCACTGCTTTGGAAAACAATAAGGTGCTTGGGACTCCTGCTTCTGAGCTTCCCACCTGATGCCTGCCAAGGCCCAGCCCCCAGCAGAGCGTCTATAAAACAGACTCTCCCCTTGTGCGTTTCTTTGGAGCGCGAGCTCAGCTGGGCCAGCCCGTGAGATGAAACGGCGCGTTCCCACTGCTCCAGGCTGCTGCTTGGTTTGCGCCGCTCTTGAGAGGAATGGGGCTCAGCCAGGGGCAATCGGGCACAGCCACAGCCTACTGCGAAGTGGAGGCCCCCAGACTGTTCCTGGCCCTGCCCTGGAGGGGGTTCAGCTCTGGTTCTACCCCCAGAACACAGCACCCAAACATGGGAGCAATGCCATGGAGGAGCACGTGGGCTGTGGGGAACAAGACCGACATCGTCCGAATGTTCCCTGGGACAGAGGGCAGAGCCTCTAGGCCAGGAGCCCCAGCCGGGGTCGGGTGCGTGGTGGGCTGTGGGGGCTCAGCGCACATGCTCCCCCACTGTGACCCTACAGCAGGCTCCCGGCCTCCTCTTTAATCCGGGGGACATACAGCTGTGGAGCGGAGGGGGACGTTGGGATACAGTGCTGGGCAAGAGGCCTGAGGAAGCTGGGGGGCCAGGCGGTGGCTCTGGGAGGGACTCGGCCCCCACAGGTGTCCATCCCGGGCTGTCCCCGCCATCAGGATCCTGTACAAATGCTCCGTCCTGGGCCGCAGCATGATGGTGGGGCGGGAGTGTGTGTGTGTGGGGGGGGGCAGGGGCTCAGTAGCCTGAGGCCTCCCCGAGCTTCCTGGGGTCCGAGGCGGCGTACACACAGGCGCCCTCCTGAAACACGGCCTGCACCACGTTCAGGAAGAGGTCCCTCTTGATCTTGGTCTGCCCGCGCGCCTGGAGCGCCACCTGTACATCCTGGAAGAGAGTGGGCGGGCGCAGCTGAGGGCAGCAGGCCTCTGCCTCTGGGTGGGGCCACACCAGGCCTGGACGTCCCGGCTGGGAGCAGGGGCCAAGAGTGGACCAGTCCTCCCAGGCCCAGCTGTTCCCAGCAGGGGCCGGGTGATGGCTCTGTGGGAGGGAAAGGTGGGGCCCTCGGCAGCGAGCATGGCCTCGCATGTGGCTGACGCCCCCAGCACCGCACGGTCCCCCGGCACCACGGGGAGCAGCTCACAGAGGAAAGAAGGAGAAGCAAAGCAAAGCTGGGGACCCCCGAGATGGAGCCGTCCGCCTGCGGTAGAGGCCTCTGCTCTCTGCCTGGCCAAGGGCAGGGACCGAGGGGGAGGGGTCTGCTAGTGCCAGAGGCGGGTCTAAGTGAAAACGCCCCCGTGGGCCTGAGGACACCCTCTGCATGAGGCAGAAAGGAGGGCGTCCCACTGGACGAGCCTGGAGGCGGCCTCGGGACTTTGCCCGTGCTCCAGTGAGGACAGTGGGTCAGGGATGGCGGGTAGGGCTGGTAGGGCCATCTCCCATGCTAGGTGCCGCTCCGTGCCCCCTTCACTGCTCCCTGAATCGAGGCTTTCCCCAGTGAAGTCCTGTTGGCTCAAGTCCTGAGTGGAACCGTCCAGGGGAATGCCGGGGTGCCAGGCGTGTTTCCAGGATGGGAGGGGTGGGGCAGCTCAGCCCCTGAGCAGGGCCAGGATGGGACAGGCCCTCTGACAAGTAAGCCTAGGAGCCTCGCAGGACCGCAATTCCTCTCCTGGTGGGTGTCCAGGAGAAAGGAACACACGTGCAACACCAAAACAAAGCATCGCTCGTTAAAGTCCCAGTGGGGGCTGGAGCCATTAGTATGAGGGGAGGGTGCATGCCTCGCACGCATGACTTGGGTTTGATCGCCAGCACCCCATCTTGTCCCCCAGGCCCCGCTGAGAGTGATTCCTGAGTGCAGAGCCAGGAGTAAGCCCTGAGCACCGCTGGATGTGACGCCCTTCCCCGAAAAAAGAAAAAAGAAAAAATAATAATAAAGCCCCAGTGAGCTCAGACTGGAAATGGGAGGAAGAGAGAGGTTGATGGAAAGTGTTCTGGTTTCTCCCTCTTACGCCAGCACCAAAGGAGCTCCCACTGTAATTTTGGTGGGAGATTGATTAAATTAATTAATTAAAATTGAAATCTTTGTTTTATTTTGCTGGCCACACCTGGCAGTGCTCAGGGATCACTCCTGGCAGGGTCTGGGAACTGAACCTGGATCCTGAGGATAAATCCCTGGTCAGCCCTGTGCAAGGAAAGTGCCCTACAACCGCTGTACTATGGCTCCAATCTCTATGACCTTTTTTTTGGGGGGGGGGTCCAGAATGTGTCGCCGGAGCCCTGGAGGTTTTGTAAGCAACACCCTTCTTTCCCCTACTATCCTAGGGCTACCGCTGAAGGACGGTCCTTCCTGTCCTCCCGGGCCAAACGTCCACCGGCTGAAAGCCTTCCTCCACAGGACTCCGGGGTGACCGAGAGGTTTCGGCAGATTCGGGAAAACCCCCACACCACTGAAGCAGCCAGAGGCCAAGCGTGTGGCCGTGACCGCAGACCCCTGCCCTGACCGCCCTGCCCCTGTTTCCTCTAACCTGGTTGAAGTCGGGCTCGTAGCTCACGAGGCCTTGGCTGTTCACATGGACGATGGGGGTCTTGATGGCCTCTTGCAGGTCCTGGCGAAGCCACAGCTTGTTCATGATGGCCTGGGGGACGGGGGCGGGGAACCCCAGAGGGGGTGTCAGCACCCCACATCAACTCCCACCTACCAAAGGGCTGCCCAGAGTGGGGTGCTTGGCCAGGAGCTGCCACACTGACCTGGGCCACCACCGGGATGATGAGCTCCCCACCAGCCCCGCCGATCACCAGCTTGGCCCCCCGGGCTCTGCTGATCAGGATGGAGGGCACCATGGACGAAGGGGGCCTCTCACCTGGAACTGAGGCCACAGTGTCACACCAGGCCCCCAGCGGCCCCCCCATCGCTGTCTCCCCTGCAGGCCCAGCTGGCCCCCTCACCGGGTTTGGGGGTGGCACCCAGTGGTGAGTGCCTCCAGCACAGATCCAGGAGCTCATTGTTGAGGAGGACGCCAGTGCTCGGGGAGTACACCATCGCCCCAAAGCTGCAAGCGGGCCAGGCGTGCACTTAGTTCCCAGCCCTCCCTGGCCCTCCAGGTGGCTACCCCAGGACACTGCCGGTGTCCCTCTCCTGTCCTTGACGCGCGCGCACACACACACACATGCACATATGTATTCCCACACACATATGCACACACATGCACACACGTACACACATATGCACACATGTACACTCATGCACACATGCGTGCACACACACATGCACATATATACACATACATGCATACACACATGCACACGCACGCACATGCACACATGCATGAACACGCACGCACATATGCACACACGTGCACATGCACCACACTCACGTGCACACTCATGTATACACAAACACACATGCACACACATGCACATGCACACACACACACACACACACACACACACACACACACACGCTCCCTGCTAGGAACACCTCATGGGTACAGCCCATTTTCAGCAGGGCCTGGCCCAGCCGCCCCATCCGAGTATTGGGCTGCAGGACCCACTGGACAGAGAGGAAGGAGGAAGGAGCAAGAGCAACGTGCTGCCCCGGAGACCACCCAGGGCTGCCAGCAGGGGCTGGTAGGGCCACAGGCAGTGTGGAGACTGCGGTGGGCATGGGGGGTTGTGGGGGCAGAGGTGGACCCGCCCTCCCGGGGCCCCACGCACGGAGTGTTGATGGTGCTCGTGGCCGCCACGGCACTGCCGTCCTCCCCCAGCACAGACACGTGGGCGGTGCCCATGCGGGGGGCCCAGAGCCTGGTCAGGTTGTAGTGGGAGCCCGGGTGGTCACCCCGGTCATCAATCAGCTTCCGGATGCTCTGGGCCATAGCCTCCTCCAGCAGTTCGTGGGAGGAGTTCTGGGGGGCAGGAGTGGGGTCACCAGGGGGCGAGGTGAGGTGGTGTATGCTGGACGCGCCGGCAGGACCTTCTCCAGCCCACTCTCGAGCCTGGACACCTCCAGATCTGTACGTCCTCTTGGTTCCCAGGGATCCAGGGCCACACTGTCCCCCGCACCTGCCAACCCAGGGCCCCTCCCCCCACTGAGCCCCACGCTGAGCGCCCCTGTACAGCCCCCCCCTCTGAGCCCCGCCCCCTCTCTGGCCTGGGACCTGCTCCACCTCCCGCTCCACCCTGCTCTCTGCGCTCATGGGCACCTGGAGCTCTGGTGCTCTGACCCTCCTGCCACGCAGAGCCCCAGGGCGCCCCCACCCTTTCCCCCTGCCCAGCTCTGCTGTAGGACCCCTCACCAGGATCTCCCGGTGGACGCGAGGGTCCCCAAGGCGCCATCTCTGCCCCTCAGCAAACTTGAGCGTCTCCACGAGGCGGTGGTACAAGTCCACGCGCCCGTCCAGCCTGGCCACAGACTCAGAGGAGAAGTTGAAGCCTGGGGAGGGTGGGGCGGGCAGGGAGGGGGCATCACTCTCTGCCCCGTCCAGCGCGTTCCCCTCAAGCGTGTCCGCGTCCTAGGCTCCAGGATCAGTACTACCTTTGGGACCAAATGTGCAATTATGCCCGGGATCTTGAGAGGAGCAGAAGGCCCTGGGTTACTCGGGTGGGTTCTGAGCCGCATTGTCCTTCCAAGACAGAGACAGAGGGAGGAGGTGCAGTGCCATGAAGGCTAGGGCGAGGGTGCCGGCAGCCCCCGGAACTGCAAGAGGCCCAGAGCTATGCCGGAGGCAGCCGCTGGCAGCTCCCCTGCGGCTTCTGGAAGGCAGGACTCAGACAGGTCACCTTCCTGCTGTGTCCACTTTGGAGCCGGGGACAGTGCCCAGGGCCACATCGTGCAGGCAGGTACGTGACCCCTCAGGCACACCCCGACCCCCCGTTTTTATTCAGTCACCCGGTGTTTGGTTCTGTGCTGCAGTCACCACCGGGAACCAACCCGATCATCTGGGGCTCACCTGGGTGTGGCCGAGACCCCCTTTCCAGCCCGCAGTGGAGACACAAAGCAGGCAACAGGTGGCCGGCCAGAGCCAACCTGCCCCTGGCACTGGGTCTCTCGGGGGTCCTCAGCAGGTGGGGGATGCCAACCCCTTTCACAGAGTCCCATGGGTGGGCAGCCCCAGAGGCTGTCCACAGACCCTCTGCCCTCACCGCCCCCACTGTCCCCATCTGTGGACTGAGGAGGGGCCTCGGCCGGGAAAGGCAGTGGCTGCCGGGCTGTGATCGGGTGTGGAGTTAGTTGAGTTCCGGGGATGAATGGGGTTGGACTCAGGACAGGAAGCCCTGGGGCCTTACCTTGAAGCACATTGAGGATGAAGCTGAGAATGGCGCCCCCTGCGGGTGGTGGCGGGGAGTACAGCGTGTACTCCCCCAGGGGCATGGCCAGGGCGTCCACCACCTCAGGCTGGAAGGACCCCAGGTCCTGCATGGTCAGCTGAGTGTCTGGGGTGAGATGAAAGGGCCTCATGGACAGACAGCACTGCCTGGGCTGGGAGCTCCCCTCACTGGGCTCCCAGGCCCCAGGATGTTATGGGAACAGACGAGACGGGACAGGCGGGAGGGAGGAGCTGGGGGGATGGGTCGCTCAGCCACAAGGACCCCGCCGGCCTGCAGGCCACGGCGCCCAGAACCCCGATCTTTCTCTCACACAGGGCCACTGGCGCCCTGGGCAGCTGACCTTCCTTGGCAATGTCCTCCAGGAGTGCATGGCCCAGTCTCCCAGAGTAGAATGCTTCCGGGCCCTCCTTGGCCACGGTCTCCAGGGTGGTGGCCAGTGCAGGCCATGAGAAGGGGTCTCCAGCCCGGAGGGGCTCTGTGCCGTTGAAGAAGAGCTGCCTGAGGGTGGGAGCAGCTGAGGGTGGGGCCAGGGCCGGGGGTGGGCAAAGACCCTGCAGGGGCTCTTGGGGGTCTGGGAGGCCCCTGGAACACGGGCTTCTGATTCCAGCGGGCTGGGTCAGGCCCGGGGAGGGGCCATTCTCTTGCCCCCCTCCCCGACATCCTGGCTGGGGCTGGGCCAGCCCCCATCTGGCTGGTTCTCTCCAGGCTCCAGAGAGGAGAGGCTGGGTGAACGGGTGGGCTGGAGGGGAGGGGAGCAGCGGAGAAGGGGACCCCGCAGACTCAGGCCCCTTCTCCTCCATCAGTGTGTGAGGGGTGCCTGGCCGGCCGGCGGGGCGGTGTCCAGCAGGGCTCACCTCAGGGATGATTCCTGCAGGAAGGGCCGCAGCTGGGTGCTGTTCAGGAACAGGCTGAGCACGGCAGGCAAGCGGAAGCCGCCGCGGAGCAGCCGGATGGTGGGCTGGAACAGCTGCGCCCAGGGCAGGCGGCCGTGGCGCCGGTGGGCCTCGGCGTAGCCGCGGAGCTCCCCGGGGACCCCGATCCAGCGGACCCCTGCACGGCCAGACCCGTTACCCAGCCCCCACCCCGGCCTGCCCCTGGGGATCCTCTCATGCACCCACTGGGTCCCCCCCAGGCTTCCTGGCCAACCCACTCAAACCCACCAGGCTCCCCACCAATTTAAAGTCAGTTCTTGGAGCCCGGGGCACCCCCAGGCCCCACCCCACACCTCCCTGGCCTCTGCTCAGGATCTTTCCACTCAGACTCCCCACACCCCAGAACGAGCTCCGGTCGGCCCAGTCCAGGGGGCCCCACTCCCAGCCTGCCCGGGAGGGGGCCTCACCTTTGCCCAGTGGCTGTGCCTGCTTACACCACTCCAGCAGCCCTGGGGAGGTCTTGGCGGGCACTGTCTCCCGGGCGTTGATGACCTCCACCTTCCCTGGGGCGGGGCGGGAGGGTGGGGGTCAGGGGCTCCCCCTCCCACCCCCAGCCAGTTCCAGTCTTCCGCTCCACCTTGGTGCCAACGCAGGACAGGTGGGGGCAGGAAGACCCCGGCTGGGGGTCAGCAGCCCTGCTGCCCGGCTGAGCTCACCTGTGCTGGCGTTGTAGATGGTGAAGATGACTCCTCCCCCCAGGCCCATGCTCTGAGGGTTGACCACTCCGGTACAGACCAGCGCAGCGATGGCCGCGTCCACAGGAGAGCCGCGCTGCTGCAGGACCGCCCTGGGGACATGCCGCGGGTCAGCGCATGGGGGGAGCGTGGGATCAGGGGCGGGGCTCCTGCTGCCCCCAAGCCTCGGTTAGGTCAGGACATGCTGGGTGGCACCACTCACGGGCCCATAGTGCCCCCACCCGCCCGATGCACCCGCTTCCAGCTGAGAGCGGATGCCCACCCCCCCCAGCACTCCTGCAGCCTGGGTCCCTGATGTCCACTCTCCCAGCCCCACGATCTCCCTGGCAACAGGAAGACCCTGGCCTGGGAGGGCTCCAGGAACCTGGATGGGGCAGCTGCTGGTCACCGTGGACGCACCAGCCCGGGTCCTCCAAGACTGGGCTCTCCGGGGAGGGCAGAGGCCTGGATCACTCTGGGGCGCTGGTGATTGTGGGTGCACTTGAACCATGAGGCCCCTCAGTCCGGGGCGCAGGCCTGTGCCCTGGTCTGATAGCTCTTCCTTCTCACCTCAGGGGAGCCAGCCTTGAGTCCCCAGTTATAGTTGAGGAGACCCAAGTCCCCTCCCTGCGCCTTGGGGCCTCTGGTCCCAGCTCCCTCCTGCAGCCCAGACCCTTCCTCCCGAGCCAGGCACCTCTGCTTGGAGCCCCGTGGCACATAGCATGCCACCTGCTTCCCCGTAATCTCAGAGAGAGTGGACTCGATGCTGGGATAGCGAGGACAAGGTATAGAAACACCTAATTTAATTCAAATATAAAAATATAAACAACCCAGTCGGACGGGAGAGACAGAGCAAGGGTTAAGGCACTTGCTTTCTTTCTTTTTGTTTTTCTTCAAAAAAGCTTTATTTGTTAATTTTGCTTCCCGGCTCTGTGCTTGTGCCTTCAACACCTTCAAGACGGTTTTCTACTCCTCGATAAGGAAAGCATGCTTGATTCTGTCTCGAACACACTTGCAACCACTGTAGGTCTGGCTGACGTGCTTTTTGTATTAGGCACCTCTTAATTTTTTTTTTTTTTTAGCTTTTTGGGTCACACCCAGCGATGCTCAAGAGTTACTCCTGGCTCTGCACTCAGGAATTATTCCTGGCGGTGTTTCAGGGACCATATGGGATGCCGGGGATCGAACTGGGGTCAGCACATGCAAGGCAAACGCCCTACCCGCTGTGCTATCACTCTGGCGCCAGTTTTAGGCACCTCTTGAACTCTAGGTCTCACAGCATGGTTTCCTCCAAGCTGGCCGGGGTGCACGCCACACTCAGACTTTAGTCCTTCCCAACCCTTTGGGTATAAGGGTAAAGAATTCTATTTCCAGGCGTTTGAGGCAGCCTGGTTTTGCAGGAGGCTGTACTGTAGGAGAACCGACGGGGTATGTCAAGCTCTGGACCACTCTGAAGGCCTCACAGACTCCGTCCCAGAAGAGTGGAGGCATTTTCTTGCATGCAGTTGACCTGGGTTTGATCCCTGGCACTGCCTGGGGTCCTCTGAGCACAAACAGGAGTGATACCTAAATCCAGAGCCAGATGGAGCCTTGAACAAAACAAGCCCCCCAACCTGCACCCAAAGAAAACTGCCCCCAAATCAAAGGATGAATGGGGGGAGACCTTCCTACCCGCTCCCTCAGCTTCTTTTGAATGCAGTGACAGGAGTTGTGCTAGCCCTTGGCTGAGGTACTGGGGCCCACACCACTCTGGTGCTGAGGGTCCCAGACAGCACATGTGGCTCCAAGGCAGACACCCTTCCCACTGAGCTGTTCCCAGGATCTCAGAAACATCAACATGCAAGCCAATGACTCCACCTTTAAAGCTTAATTAATTAATTAATTAATGGTTCTTGGGCCACATCTGGCTTTGTTCAGTGCTTACTCCTGGTTTTGTGCTCAGGAATCACTCCTGGCGATGACCCTACGGGGTGCTGGGGATTGAACCTGTGTCAAACATATGCAAGGAAAGTGCTTTATCTTTCTGACGCTGGAAGTTGATTTAAATTGGCACCTCCAGGGCCTGCAAAAATAAATCCTGATAGGGGCGGGAGCGATGGTGCGATGGGTAGGGCACTTGCCACGTGCATGCGGCTGGTCCAGGTTGGATCCCTGGCATCCCTTACGGTCCCCTGAGTTCCCTTAGGAGTCACTGCTGAGTGTAGAGCAGGGGTAAGCCCTGAGCAACACAAGGCGTGGCCCCCACCAAATCAAAACAGAACAAAATGTTGATAAATTAGTCTCTTTGCCAGCATTCAGCTAAGATGTAGAGGGAAAGGCTGACTTCTCAAACAGACACGCTTCTACATCTGATCATCCTGGGGCTCCTCCACCTCCCATCTGCACTTCCTTCTCCATAATGCCCTCTGATTGACCTTTCTATAATGATGGCCATGTGGTGCCCCTAGTCACCCCTGCTCATCCTCGCTGGCCACTTTGAAGCAAAGTCGGGAATGCAGACCAGCCAGACTTTTAATTCCATTGCACAAAAGCTGAACTTGGGGAAACTGCTAAAGAATTTCTGGATGCTCTTTTTAAAGACCTTATAAACTTTGCCAGAGTTTAGTTTGGTCATCTAAACTTAGCCAGGTTACTCTGGGTTATACCAGCTTATTCACAGGCTGTAGGGGACGGTGAAGCCAAGGAATGAACCACAAAAGTTAATTCAAATTTGCTCCAATTTTTCCCCCCTCCTTTGGCTTTTTGGGTCACACCTGGTGATGCTCAGGGGTTACTCTTGCCTCTGCACTCAGGAATTACTTCTGGCGGTGCTTAGGGGACCATAAGTGATGCTGAGGATCAAACCCAGCTGGGTTGCGTGCAAGACAAACACCCTGCCCTGCTGTACTATCACTCTGGCCCCTGCTCTGATTGCTCCTTAGACGATTTCTCCAAGAAAAAGCAACTAGCTAGAAAAACGTTCTTCAACTCGGAAAGATGGTCTCCATAGGGCCATCCCTTAGCTCTCCCCAAATTTACAGGCTGGGAAAAAAATTCTACAATGCGCTCAAAGACCTGAAGAAAATATGCTTGATTATGCTAATTCACTTGGAGTCAAAGCCAACTTTGGGTGTAGATGATGAAAACTATGATACCATTTCCTTATTCCATTCTTTGTTTGATTGATGGGTGAGAAGGAGAACTTGTGACTTTGGTCTAACTAGGCCACAATGGAAACTCGTCCTGTGCTTAATTTGGCTGAACAATTGTGACATGGTGCTGAATGTACAAAACCAGGCTGTACAAATTCAACTGTAGCAATGGATGCATAAATCATCCTTTCAAAACCTCCATTTCTATGTCCTGTGAGAACAATACAGGTGGAACTTACTATTCGGACTGTGCCTGTTTCTTGGCTGAAGAACACATTGCTAGCATATGTACTGATGGCAGGTTCATCTTTTCAGATATGCCTTTGGAACTGTTTGTGATTTTGACATACTTTTGAAATAAAGGAGATTTATTTGTGTGTGTGTGTGTGTGTGTGTGTGTGTGTGTTAGGGGTAGGAAGCATAGCTAGCAAATCTTACTAAAGATTTTTTTATTCTACTTAAATTTTGGACTGGAGCGATAGCACAGCAGTAGGATGTTTGCCTTATAAGCGGCCAACATGGCCGACCCGAGTTCGATTCCTCCACCCCTCTCAGAGAGCCTGGCAAGCTACCGAGAGTATCTCGCCCGCACGGCAGAGCCTGCCAAGCTACTCGTGATGTATTCGATATGCCAGACACAGTAACAACAAAGTCTCCGATGGAGACGTTACTGGGCCCGCTCAAGCAAATTGATGAATTGATGAACTTAAATTTTATTCTTGTAGTTTTATTTGTCTGTTTTTGTTTTTTGCTTTTTGGGTCATACCCAGCAATGCTCAGGGGTTCCTTCTGGCTCTGTATTCAGGAATTACTTCTGGCAGTACTCGGAGAACCATATGGGGTGCTGGGGATTGAACCTGGATCAGTTGCTTGCAAGGCAAATGCCCTACCCGCTGTGCTACCGCTCTGGCCCCTCTTCTTAGAGTTTTTACTCCCTCATCTCTAGCCCTTCCCTTCCCTTCATCATTGCTGTGATAGGCAGGGACTGCACACACGGGCTGTTTCTTAGTCCTGGAGTACACGGGGGTTATGGTTCTTGCACACTTGGCTTTGCTCTCCTTTAGCTGTGATGCTTGCACACGTGCTTGCTAGGGAGAACATTCTTTTCTCTGCGCACATCCAGCAGCGCTCAGAAGACCATGCAGTGTTGGGGATTAAACTCAGACCTCCTGCGTGCACAGCGTGTGCTCCAGCCTGCCAAGCTCCCTCGAGTCCAGGGGGAGCACTTTTAATCGAGGCACACAAGTGATGGCAGTGCCCCTCGCTGGGGGTTGCTGTGGTGCTCACTCAATGCTTGCCAGAGGCACATCTTAGCTTGGGGCTAACACACACTTCCTTGTTAGTGTTGAAGCTTATGGGGGAAGGGGGTGTCATCCACACCTCCTTTTGTGGCGTACTTGCACACCTGGCTGTGGTGTAGCGAGATTTTCCATGCTACGGATCAGAGACACCCCAGCCACAAGGCTCAAAGAGTAGAGATGCCAGAACCATCCTTCGTGCATGTGGGATCCCACGAAACTGAACTCATGGCCACACGTTCGAATAGAAAACATGCTTGCAAGGCAGGCTTTCAAAACCTCTGTAATATTTCTCTGGGACCACAAAGGGAAAATTTTTTTTTGGTGGTGGGGTGTCACACCTGACTGTGCTTAGGGCTTATTCCTGACTCTACACTCAGGAATCACTCCTGGTGATGCTCAGGAGACAATATAAGATGCTGATAATCGAGCCCAGGTCGGCTGTGTGTAAGGCAATTGCCCTACCTGCTGTACTATCTCTCCAGCCCTCACAAAGAGAATTTTATCCTCCCTATGGAGACAAAGAAAAGATAATTCTAAGGGGGTTGGAGAGGGAGTATAGCCAGTAGGGTTCTTGCCTTGCATGTGACTGACCAGGGTACAATCCCTGGAATCCCATATGGTCCCCCAAGCCCTTCAGGAGTGATCCCTGAGAGCAGAGTCCGGAGTAAGCTCTGAGCACCA